ACCGAGGCCCGGAAGGACCAAAGGATTGAGGTTGCCAGCAACACTACAATCGTCCCCTGCGTCTAGACTATGTTACATATTCTTTTGTGTGCGTCTTTTAACCTTTCTTGCTTGTTTGTAATCTATGTTAATATAGTTGTGGTTTAAATTTTACTTAAAAGTGTCAGTATTTATTTATGAGCCACAAACCAATGACCACTTAAAGGGACGACTGGCGATAGATACAGAATTTGGTGTCGGCATTTTGTAATCCTCTTTAAATTTAGTTGGCTAATTGGCATCTCGAATCATTTATTACAGTTACCTCGAGTAACACAATAACCAACACAATAATCAACCGAAAAATTGTCTATTTGTATTTACAAAGGGGAGTCGGGGCAGGCTGCACGGGGAGGTGGGCAGGAGGAGGGGGCATTGGAGGGGTGGCAGGAGCAGGGGGCATTGCAGGGGCAGGAGGGGGCATTGGAGCAGGGGGCATTGCAGGGGCGACAGGAGGAGGGGGCATTGCAGGGGCAGGAGGGGGCATGGGCAGTGCTAGGGGAGAGATGGCGGGGGCATGGATGCGAGGCAGGCCGCATCGGGGCAGGCTGCATGGGGAGGTGGGCAGGAACAGGGGGCATTGCAGGGGCAGGAGGGGGCATGGGCAGTGCTAGGGGAGAGATGGCGGGGGCATGGGGTAAGGCCATGCCATAATGTATTGCGTGCGCTATGTGTGCTGTGGGGGTGGTGATGGAGTCAGCCACACGCGTGCACTCGGCCTGAAAGGTGGCCCAGGCCTCCTGGCACCATTGCAGTTCCCCCTGGACGCGCTCGCGAATCGAGGCGGAAACAGGAAATCTGGATAGCAAGCACTTTTAGCCCAGAAGTCCAAACTGCAAAACAAATGGGAGCCTGCTCTTGCATTCAAATATCTCCAATCTGTACTGATTTCAGTGGAAGATTTGAGTACCAAGATACAGGATTAGTTGTGCAAGGCAAGTGGTTTTACATGGCACTGGTGGGCAGCTGGGGGTGCCGCTGCTGTCAGACTGGAGGGTCCCCGGCTTGTGCTTGGTCCCGCTGCAGGGAAGAGAAGAAAGGATGGGTCAGGCAGGCAGGCCGGCCACTGTCCCCACACCTCATGCCCTCCACCCCCCGAGCCCAGGTGACCCCACAGTAGTGTGGCTTGGCCCCACTTGGTTCACCCCCTGCTCCCCGTGTTGTATGTTTGCAAGGAGGACCGCCCCTGGAGTAGGGTCTTCCTCCATGTATTGTAACCACCAGTCTGTGTCCTGGCCCCGTGGAGGGCGGAAGGGTGTTGCGTTCATCTGTGGAACTCCCTGCCGGTGGAGACTGTGAGGCTTTGGGCTAATCACTGGTGTTTGACAGGGAATGTGATGAATCCCCACACAGTGCCTGGGAGCACATCTGGCAGAGGTGGTCTGGGCTCTCAGATCCCCATAGTGTGGGATATCTCCTGGACGGAACCAGAAGAATGACTGGGGGGGGGAGTTGTCCCATCCTTGCAGCAAAACTCAGGTGGCCCTATGGGCAGTCCGAGCGATTCCCCGCCTTCTCCCTCCCACTATCCCTCACACACGTAGCCCAGGGACATGTGTGGCCACAGTGGGGAATTCCCTCGGGGAGCCAGCGAAGGCACCGGGAGCAGGTGAGGGGCTCGGTGGGGGCCACGCTCACAGGGCTGTGACGCTGCGGTTTACCCAAGAGCAGCTGGCTGTGCCTCACAGCCAGGCATGGGACAGTGTGCTGTTCTCCGTGCTGCACCCTTGGCGGAGGTGAGGGCTCTGGGTTGAGTCCCTGGGGCCCTGGCCGGTTCCAGCCAGCATCCACCCTTCCCCCTGGTCCCGCCGAAATGTGTGTGAGCAGCAGAGTCCCAGGCGTGCCCTGCAGCTGCCTGCCGTGGCCACGTGCCACTCGGTCACCAGGCTGCACGTAGTTGCATGTGCTGCTTGCTGTCTAATGCTACACAGCCAGTGCAGATCATGTGGCCTGAGTGACATGCTCTCCCTCTTCCCCCCTCCGGGTGCCAGGCTCCCCCCCTCGGCCCCCGCCCTTGTGAGTACAAAGTGCAAGACTCAGAGACTCACTGGTGGATCCTTCCCCGGCCTCGGAGGGGCTGCTGGAGGGGGCCTGCTGGGTGGCGATGCTGGCCTCCTCCTCCGACACACTGCTGTCTCCTTCCCCTGCCTCGGTGGTCTGGGTGACGAGGGGGTGCACGCAGGTGTCTATGGGCACATCCGGGGTTTGCGGGGCTGGCTGGCCAAGGATGGCATGCAGCTGGTCATAGTGGGGGCAGGTGTCTGGTTCTGCCCCCTGCCCTTGCTGGCTCGCACGTAACCCAGGCGTAGCTCCTTGACCTTAGCCCGGACCTGTTCGAGGTTCCGGGCTGGATGTCCATGCTGGACTAGTGCCTGGGCCATGCGGCCGTAGATGTCGGCGTTGCGGCGCTGGGACCTCGTGTCATAGAGGCCCTCCTCCTCCTGCCAGAGGTCCAGGAGGGTCTCCAGCTCCCTGGGGGTCCACGAGGGGGCCTGTCTTTTCCGGCCCCTGGGGGCCCGGGAGCTGCCATGGCTAGCTCAGATGGCTGCTGGGCAGGACAGGGGTGCTGTGGCAGACCTCAGGGCAAAGAGCTCTGTGGCACGCTCCTGCCATGTGCGCTCAGCAGCCTATGTGTTCTTTAAGAGCTCGGGTTACCAGGAAGTCCAGGGCTCCTACGGGGTCTCCCGGCGTCCAAACCGCTTTTTTCCATTTAGCCTGCTTTTGTGCAAAAGCATTAGCTAGCTGTCTACACTGGCCCTTTTGCGCAACAGTTTTTCGCAAAAAGGACTTTTGCCCAAACGGGAGCGGCAAAGCTTTTCCGGAAAAGCGGCTGATTTCGCACAGTAGATCGTCAGTGCTTTTGCGGAAAATCAAGTGGCCAGTGTAGACAGCTGGCAAGTTTTTCCGGAAAAGCAGCTGATTTTCCGGAAAAACTGGCCAGTCTAGACACAGCCAAGATGTTTTACATCCACTTTTCACAGCTATACTTGAATACTTGAGTAACGAATCAGTGAAGAATCCTTCCTACTCCTTAAGTCAGTAATAATCTCAGCACAGATGTAAGGTAACACATAAATAAAACTCAGTAATAATCTCAGCACGGATGTAAGGTCTTGGCACCTGATTCTCCATACCTTTATACCAGTTTTGCACCAGTGGTACCTCTCTGAAATCAGTGAAGATTCAGGTAGGTGAAACAAATGTAACCTAATAGAGAATCAGATCCATTGCCTCTTTTCAGATGCTAACAGGGTATTCAGACTGAGCACAAATTGCCAGTATGAAATATCCTGGGCCAAAATTCAGAATCTTCACTCAGCCCAATATGTAAAACATTTATTTCCTGTCCATCTGAAGGCCTGATCAAGTATGTCAGGATTTGCTGTAGTGTGTGTTTGGCCTGGATCGCAGCAACTAATTTGTGGTTTAGCTGCAGTCAAAATGGATCCAGATTTTCTTCTGTTTAAATGTTATTATCTCTGTCAAACTCTATTACATGTTCTTTTATAAGCTGAAGTTAATTAAGATGTCTATTGTGGTAGGGAATATTTAGAGTAAGAATACCCATTAGCACTGTTGAAGAGCTATACATGTACTGACTTATTCAGCGGTACGCTTTATTCTTTCTACACATAAGCCAATCAGAGAGAATCAGTAGGAATTTGCCTCCTTGAGCATAGATATCTTTGAGTCCAGCAAAATATTTGCAAGCAGGATTGATGGTTTCCCCCAAACAAAGGATATTCTGCCATCTAGTGGCAAAGATGTTTCAACATTAACAAAACTTGCTTAACCCCCCCCTCCCCAAAATTTGAAACTTTTGTACATATGACTCATCATTGTGGTTCACTTCTCAAAGCTAATTATGGTAAAGCATCAAGATGATGATGATGTAAGGATAAAAACATAATGAAATGGAATATAAATAAGTACAATTGCTGCCAGTTCAGGATGGAAACAGGAATCATGCAGCAAAACCCCCCAGGATACATGCATTGTATGCGGATTAAAGGCCAATTTTTATCTACAGGTGCATGGTTTATATTAATTTCCTGGCCACAGTCATGTCTCTTTTTGTAGCGTGATGCCAGTTTTGTCTCAATGAGAGGATCATGCAGTACATAGTTAGAGAATCAAAACCTTTTTCTTCCATGCATTTCATATGACCCGATGATAACAGAATTTAATTTAGAAGCAAATAAGTAGAGCAAAAGAATAAATCATGTTATCTATCTAAGAATGGTCAAAAAAGATCAAAGGATAATCAACAACAAACCACCTGATCTAGTTTTCAAATCCATTATGAAGAAAGGGCGATCATTTGAAGACAGAGGGCAAGTTTGTTTCACTAGGGATTGATTTCACTAGGGATTGATTAGGACTGGTGATTCTGTTATATTCAGTTAAAGTCTGAGTCTATGAGAAGCCAAGCACTTCACTTATTGACTTCAGTGGGAACTGAAGGTGCTCAGCACCTTATAGGATCAGACTTTTGCTTTATTTTTTGTTTTTAATTGGTGTAAGGTGGTTTTAATTGAAGGGCCTGATTCTCTGCTGCATTATGCCAGTTTTATGGTGGTGCCATTCTACTGAAAATATCAAGGTTACATTGGCATAGAAACCAATGGAACAGAATGGAGAGTCAGATCCAGTTATTTTTTATGCATTACACCCTCTTTTTTTAGTATTAAAAAGATTCAAACTGCATTTTTCACACAAATGTAATTTGAAAGAGGAAAAAATGTGTCTGAAAAAATCCATTATTTCTCTGACTCTTCAAGGCCATTCATCATTTCACATGTGTTCATACCACTGACACACTGCAGTGGCTGGTAATGTTAAAGCTAAGAAACATCCCTATGATACTAAAACTTGTCTATAACAACTTCATAATCACAGATGAGGGGAACAAAAGAAACTTATTCTTACCTGCTCTGAAATGCTGC